TGCTGAGGAAGATTGGCCCTGAGCTAACAGCTGTGCCTATCTTCCTCTATTTTGTATGTGGGATGCCGCCACAGCATGGCTTTGATGAGCAGTGTGTTGGTCCGAGCCCGGGATCTGAACTCGCGAACCCCGGGCCGCCGAAGCAGAGCTCAAGAACTCAATCACTATGCCACCGGGCCGGCCCCCACGCATATTTTTTTAAACCCAATTAAACACAAAACCTTTGATATATATAACCAGCACCTCCCGATATGTGCTCGCTCTCAGCAGAAGGCCCTGGGATCTCAAACAGCCCCTGCATGTGAGCAGAGTTTCTCCCTCTCATCTGCCTTCCCCTCCCTCCCCTCTCCAAGAGAAGCTCAAAGTTAAAAGAACTTCTTAATACCCCACCAGTACAGGGTGTGTCTGCTTCTTGTCAGCCCACAAGAACAAAGGAGGGTCCCCTCTCTTCCCCTGCATTCCTCCCAAGCGCAGAGGGCCCATTCCCAATATTGATGAATGAATAAGGTCGTGGCCCTGGGAGCGGCGGGCGGCTGGACACACATCCAAGCACAGGCTCGGGCTCCCTTTGATCAGCAGTCTCTCCCTCGGAGTCCGGGGCGGGGGGTGGCCCTGGCCTGCCTCTTCCTGCTCAGGGAAGGCGGTATTGTGTTACACTGCTGTGTTTTGTCTGGATAGTTTGATTGGACTTTGTTATTTTGAATAAACAGATGAATCTCACATTAGCCTCCCAGCAGAATCAGCATTCTTGATGATCGGATGTTAAGAGTCAGTGCTCCATATACAATAGGCAAATCATCAGATCTGGGCATCTTGCTGGGTGAGCACGTTTAAGGAAAAGGAAAAAAACTCAGATTTTAAATGCGGAGCATCGCAGGCAAACCTAACATGGAGTGATGAAGAAGTGAGACCATAGTTTACCTTGCACAACTTCACAACAGCCCTGTTGGAGCAACAGACACAAAGGCTATGGCAGGTCCAGGTTAAAATGAAGTTCTCTGCCTGCTAAGAGCATCTGTTTTCTAGAGGTTTAGTTTTCACTTTTTCTTTCCACTTGTAATATTTACATGATCTTTAAAGATTTGCTTCCTTTAAATGATATTTAAATAGTTCTGAGTAGATAATTAAATGCTTAGATTTAATACCACAGGAAATGAGGGCTCTGCCAAGCATTAAGTTGATGACAACACAACATTATAGTTTCTGCCTAATCAGGAATTGTGCTTTTAAAGCATCCTCCAACACAGAACCAAAAGCCCTTTAAATCATTGTATATCTGTAGCCACCAAAATTCGTCCTAAATCCTTTTGGATGATCTAATCTGTTTGCTCAGAAATCTTCCCACGAGGGACTCCAGGGTGTCTCTGAAATCTATACTCTCTTATTCATCTGAAAAAATCTAACCTCAAAATAATTTAAGAAATTCATTCCACCTTTGGAGCATAAAAGAGAAAATTCTCCACCATGGAAAGGGGCTACAGTAAAATGTATACCAGCAGTGAGCCAGATTACGGATGCTAAAAACGAGTGGTAGAGAATCTTTGAAAGTCAAGACACGAGTTCAAGCCACCCAAGAATATATTCTAAACAAACATTTTCATATGATGTCTTAATCACCTGTCCCCATGCACTGACACTCATTAACACGATTTCTAGAGAGAGAAACAAAGACGCCCTCCTAACTCGTATTACCTATCTTCCCAATCTTCCCTAACTTTAGAAGATCCGAGCCTTTGTCATTATTGGCTTATGAATATATTTCCAAGGAGCGACGAAGGAGATGCTGGGGATCAGAGGAAGAAAAAGCACACCGTCTTTGCTATCAAAACATCATTAAATTCATTCCTTTGACATTCTGACAGTAATTGCACTGAGAGGGATTGGATTTTGTTAAAATTGCTTTAAAAGGGTTGTTGAGAATTTCCTGCGGGAGAGACCAGTGAGTGATGCACAGCTCTCACTCATTTTCCCTTTGTTGTCCTCAAAATCCCGCGAAGCTCGGCGCACATCTGATTTTTGACAGCACGAAGCCCTTGTCATAACACCCTGGGTCCCTCAGAAAGCTCTGCCCCCTGGTTCTATTTTCCACTGTGACCAGCAGAGTCGGTAACCCAAGCTGATTCACTCTCGAGGTTTCTGCCTTTGTCACCTTGATAAACAAAGACAGAACCAGGGACACTTACAGCATCATTTTCCTAATAATGGCAGAGCTGTGACACAGCAGGCTACACAAGGGTATTGTAGGAAAGAGCCAAAAATAGTGTTCTTCGCTGAAAACTTCTGAATGTTCCCTTCCTTGCTGATCAAAACTCAAAGAGTTCTGATGAAGCATGATTTCATGACAACGTGCATGACTAAAAACATGTCCATGAAGAGGCTGTCTACCTCAGCAAGTAAATGACCCACCTGGGTGGTGCCTGGCCGAGGCTGGCGCTGAGAAAGCCCTGGGCCAGGGGACGTCCCCTGAAGAGTCCCTAGGTTTGGGCATGACAGGGAAGGGCATTCCAACACCAATCCCATTAGGAAGGACATGGCACTTGTCACCTCGAAAGCCCACAAGTTTTATTAATTAAAGGCCTAGCCGCTTTCTTCACTGATCAGAATATGAATGGTTTTCAAACTGACAAAAGGTACCATTAGAAGTTGAATTTTTGTTAAACACAGAATTGTCATATGACTGAGCAAATCCACTCCTAAGAGTAGAATTCTCCAGAAGTAAAAACATATGTTCACACGATAACTTGTCTATGAATGTTCGTAGCAGCATTATTCACAATAGCCAAAAGGTGGAAACAACCCACATGTCCATCAGTGGATGAATGGATAAACAAAATGTGGTCTATCCATACAATGGAATATTACTCAGTCATAAAAAGGAAAAAAGTACTGATAGATGCTAGAACAGGGATGAATCTTGAAAACATTATGCTAAGTAAAAGAAGCCAATCATAAAAGATCACATATTGTTTGTTTCCATTTATAGGAAATGTCCAGAACAGGCAAATCCACAGAGACAGAAAGTAGATTAGTGGTTGCCAGGGGCTGTTGGGAGGGGAGAATGAGGAGTGACTGCTAATGGGTACAGAGTTTCTTTTTTGGAGTGATAAAAATATTCTAAAATTACATAGTGGTGACAGTTGCACAACTCTGTGAATATACTAAAGCAACTGAATTGTACACTTTAAATTGGCGAATTTTATGGTACGTGAATTTTATCTCAATAAAAAAATTTAAACATGTGTGTGTATATCTGTATATATACCCACATATTTTGTGCTTTGATCTTGCTTTTTAAAATGAGAATCAATTAAACATGAGCCCTAAATTTTCTCAACAACCCAGAATAATTATTGATTGTAATTCCATGAAAGAAAAACTATGCATTTATTAGTGAAGTCGACAATTTCTTGGGGGGAAAAGAGAGCTTTTATTTTATTGTATTGTGTTTATTTTATTTTAGTATAGCACTAAAAGTAGGCACCCACCACCGATGGCGACATTGCTAAGAATGCTATTTCCATTCACTTTCCTCGTAGAGCTCCTCCACAGGAGGGAACAGGCTGTTAAAAAGAAAAGCTTGATTTTCATAATTATTTGCAAGGTTGGTTTGGCTTGTGGGGAACACCCCTCAGTTTCAAGGGTAAGTGCACAATGTGAATGGTGATCCAATTCAGTCGAATAAAACAGCTATTGAACAACTATCACACGTGAAGCAAACACAATGAGAGCGCCATCGCTAGCGCCAGCTGAAAACCAGTCTCGTGCCATCTTAACACTGATGTTTCTTTCAGAGACCTGAACAACTGGTCTCATTACTATGCAAACAAGAAGAGCAGCCACACTTATATGGCCCTTGCTCTACACCAAACACTGTTCCAAGCTCTTTCCATATGTTTAGCTCCTTCACCCTGACACCAACCTCGAGTTGAGTATCATTATTATTCCCGTTTTACAGAAGAGACTGAGGTTCAGAGTGGTTAAGTAACTTGCCCAGGGTCACACAACTATTAAAGGACAGAGCCAGGATGCAAAGCCAGGCACTCTGGCTTCAGACACGGCCTTCGGAACCCCACACTGGCATTAACCCAACTCACAAAACATTCCACGGAACAAAAAGGTAGAATTGTAAAACACGCTGCAATGACTCGGCCTCGCTTGGGGTGCGCTGAAGCACCGTGTCGGCGACCATCAGCGGGGCATGGCCCTTACCTGTGGACCACCCCGGCCCGGTGCAGATGCTCCACCGCAGAGATCAGCTGCCTGATGTATCGGCGGGCTTCAGGTTCCTCCAGCCGCTTCTTCTCGTAGATCTTGTGCATGAGGTTGCCCCCGGGACACAGCTCCATGACCAGATAGTAACTGTTCTCCGTCTCTAAGATATCGAGGAGCTGGGTGATGTTGGGGTGGCGGATCATCTGCTGGATCTGCCCCTCTCGCCGAAGGTTCTTGGTGACATACGTGTCTTTTTTGGCTCTCTTCTTGTCGATGACTTTTATGGCCACCTAACGAGACACCAAGAACACGCCTGTCGTCAGACGCTGCAGGCAAAGGTCACTCCCTGACTATTCACAAGAACTCTAGGGAAATATATAGCTACTTCTCTGCACAAGGAGAAAAACCTTATCTAAAAGAGCATCAAGGGAAAAAAAAGGAGAATGTAACATCAGCAAAGATCAAAAGATTCAATTATTAAGGAAGAGAAAGAAATTTACTTAAGCAAACTTGAATGGCCGACTGGAAGGCTCAGTGAAGGGTCAATGTCAAACATGGTTCTCCAAAGGGTGAAATGATGCCCAGTGATGGGGCACCCCCGTCCTTCCTCCACGCCCCTTCTCTGCCCTGCCCCAGGCCCTCAGGCCAGGCTGCCTCTGGCCTCCACTGTTGACCTCTTTCCCTTGGTGAATTACCATGAAGGTTACCTCTTGGCCCTATGTCAGGACCCAACCTGTTGCTGCTCCAGGGTCACGTCTCAAATACCCACAGGATGCTCCTCCTGGGTCATTTCCCCCATAGTCAACATGTCACAGCTTTGCATGAAGGTAGGGTGAGAGGGAGGAAGGGAGAGAGAGAAGAAAAAGGGAAGGACAGAAGGATGGAGGGGAAGGGAAGAATGTCTTTTCCCAATCTGCACCCCTTTCCAACTCTCCCCTTTCCTTTGGTGGCAGTCACCTCTCCACTCACCAGGCCCTAAAACACCCCACTGCTTTTGCCCTCTTCTTTTCTTACATCTTCACTCCTCTCTCTAATGTGACCAGCCATTGACATCATGTCGATTCCTTCTACTAACTGCCTCTCTCATCTTTCCCTCCTCTCTGTTCACAACGCCACCAGTGGGGTTCATTTAGGACCTTGCCTCCTAGTGACCAGACGTGCTGTCTCTAAGTGAGACTCGAGCAACCCAAGGGACATCCTCATCCAAGGCTACCGAGCCACCTGGGTGCAGGACGAAAACAGCGGACCTTCCATTTCTATTTATTTCCTTCTTTTGTACCTATATTTTGTAACTGTTTCATAATGCACTCAATATATTAATACAGAGGTGTGATAAAGAGCAATAAATAAATGATTGATAGAAGACAGTTGATGGACAGATAGATGTTTGCAATGAGAGGCTCAAATGTTATTTTCTTGACATAGAGTTTGTGATTAAAAAAAATCTGGCCACCGCTAGCCTGGACTATGACATCAATGTCCTACCTGTTTTCTCTCATGCTCATCCTGGCCCCTTGAAGTCACTCTATGGTCTGCCTCAAAATCAAGGGGTCTGGAACTCTGATTTCTTGCTTAAAGCTCTTCAGGGACTCCCACTGCCCACAGGGCAAGGTCCAGACTCCTGGCCCAGCACTCGAGCTTCAGACGATAACTCAAGTCTCATCTCCCTTCTAGAGAGTGCCTTTAACTTTCCTTCCTTGGGCTTCCACCACACTTATCATCTGTGACACCACTGAGAGCACCTATCCCTTAACACAGGGACTGTGCCCTTCTTCACCACACATAGTATTGTATAAACAATAAGTGACCAATAGGTTACTAACTGAGCAAATCATTGAACCTATTTTTTTTTTTTTACCATTGAAGTAAAAATAGCTATAAACAGCTTAATCTATTATCTCTTCTGGAGAACAGTCTCTTTTTATTTAATTTTAATTTTTTACTTGAGATATAATTGACATGCAACCTTGTACTAGTTTTAGGTGTACAACAGAATGATTTGATATATGTGTATATTGTGAAATGATTATCACAATAAGTTTAGTTACCATCCAACACCACAGATAGTTACAAATTTGAGTGTGATGAGAACTTTTAAGATTTTCTGTCTTAGCAACTTGCAAATATATCATACAGTGTTGTTAACTGTAGTCACCGTGTTGTACATTACATCCCCAGGACTTATTTATCTTATAACTGGAAGTTTGTACCTTTTGACCCCCTTCACCCTTTTTTATGGGGATCTTCAGACCCTTAATCCAAAGATATGACTAAGAGGAGACAACTAGCCAACAGGAGCAGACAAGCTGGGGGCCTGTCAACCTGAGACTGATGCTGTCTGCCCACAGAAGTGAACGTTACACTCTGTGGTTTGGCCCCAACTAGTTCAGTAGTGCTAGACTAAAAGCTTTAAAAACTGTACTCCTTCATGACAAAAGAAAAAATATGTATATAATATACATATTATATTCACATATATACAATATACATGTACATACATATATCTGTCCATCATCTGTGGGGGAGGGGAGAAAGAGGGATGCTGAAAAGTACAATTAGATTGTCTTTGCTTGAGTCTGTGTTGCAATATTTTAAAAATTACACTCTTTGGCAGTGAAATTCTTAAAAGTAGCATGAATAAACAACAGTTGAAAAGCCCAACAGTAATACGGTCTGCCTTTTTGAACAGAGCACACAGTTATCATTAGGATAATTTATTTAGTGCTTTAATTGCCTGTGGTAAGTTATATAATGGCCACCTAAAGACATTACATCCTAATCCTTGGAACGTGTGAATGAGACCATATTTGGAAATGTGAAGGATTTTAAGATGAGAGTAATCTGCATTATCCAGATGAACCCTAAATGTAATCATGTGTCCTTATAAAACAGAGGCAGTGGGAGATTTCACACAAATACACAGAGGAGGAGGCCGTGAGAAGAAGGAGGTGGAGAGGGCAGTGATGGGCCCCAAACCAAGGAACTCCACAGCCACCAGAAGCTGGAAGAGGCAAAGGATGGAGTCCCCTTAGAGACTTTGGAGGGAACACAGCTCTGTCAACACCTTTATTTTGGTCCAATGAAATTGATTGGCACTTACGGCCTCTAGAACTGTGAGAGAATAAATTTCTGTTGTTTTAAGCCACCAAGTTTGTGGTAATTCATTACAGCAGCCACAGGAAACTAACACACCAGGTGCATGCCCCACCATCACTTGGTATCTTGGTTCCCACGTGCTACTGGTTCTGAGAGGCCCTCTGTGAAAACCCTGAAACCTTAAGGTACCTCACCAGGAGAAGGTTCCTGTTAAGCCCCCTCTCCATTTCCAAATACCAGCCAGTCACCAGGCTTGTTGTTTTCATTCACCCCTACACTTATAAGCTCTGCATTGATAATATTGAAAATGGAATGCCATTCTTGATTACCCAAAACCATTGAATCAACTTCATCTGTAACAACTGAAATGGGAAAAACTGAATGGGAAATTAAGGAAAAAGCAATCAATGATCAGCAAAGGGAGACATTTAATTTAATTTGACGGTAATCAGAGATTTGCAGGCAGAGTAGCTCTAACACTGATTCTACTGGGGTGAAGCCCAGCACAATGATGGGTCTCTAGCTGAAATGATAAACTGCTTTGGCCAGGACAGTTTTAAAAGTAAAATTAAATCTGCACAGATTCACTGTGGACCGGGTCCAAGGACCAGATTGGAACTCCCACCAATCCGGTCCTCGAGTGTGTTTTGGAAAAGAGGGGGTCACAGGGGAGTGTCTAAGCCTAGATGTCATCCTGAGCACATCAAGAAAAATAGTTTTCTTGAAAAAGGTCAATAAAATGAAGACGCAGCTCTTCAACAGGTCCAAGTTGCAAAGCCTCCCAAAATTTTACAAAGGAATCCATTTTCAAAGACTGCTTCATATTTCCAAGAGAAGTAGCAAAGTCTTGTGGTGGTGGGAAATTAGAGAGAGAATAACACAGCTCCAGTGTACCACAGCACAGCTGAAACAAATTATTCCTCAACTTCTCTCGTTAATTAAGAAACTGCATTTCTCGAAATACAGCAACTCCCACCCTCCTCCCCACTCCACGCCACTCCCGCCAAAAATAATGCCTATCGATGATGGATAAAATCAGCAAACTAATTTTTAAATAGCTAAGCTCATAAGAAAGAAAAGAAAATTCCCCAAGGCCAAAAAACAAGTAGAAGTAAGATGATTAAATGGCAGCTATAGGGGTGGAAGAATAGAAGATACAGGAAAGAAGAGGTGACTCCAGGCGAGGAGACCCCGAGGAAGGGGAAGGAAGAGGTGGAGGAGGCTGCTCTGCCCTCCAACATGGGAAAGGAGGAGAACGGAAGCCCGTGGATCCCAGTTCATCCGGAGTGGGGCCAGCTGCAGAAAGGAAGTCACGCTTAATGGCCCCTGTTATGTATCAGAAGAAAAACATCCAACACAGAATTTCACTTAGAATGAGAGATGCACAAAAGCATATGGTCCCCGTCATGCTACACACTTCCATAAACAACTGGTACCTAAGATAACGTACATAAAGCACTTAGTACGACGTCTGGCGCATGGTAAGTACTCCTTAAATTGACGCTCTCATCATCAACATTTTACTTTACTGAAGCGACTTGTAAAGAGGGTGAAAAAGCATTCAAGCTTAATTCAGCTAATTATTCAGCTTAATTCAGAAAAAATGTGCATTTCCTTGACCCACAGTTCTAGCATATTAAAAAAGAAGCCTGAACCACATTTCAGTGTTTCGAACTCTCTGGGATAGAGCTGCTTTTAAATCCCAAGTCAGTGGTTTAATATCAGCCTAGTCTCTCATCTTCTTTAAATATTGACTTAGTTGAGACTGTCTACACAGGATCAGAGTTAACAGGATTTAAAATTCATCCCTTCATCCTCGATCACCCTTCACTGCCTTTATTATTCGTTACTCTGAAACACATCAAGAATTTGTTGATGTATCCAATCTCTGAAATGAAAAGGCAGCTGTAAAACAGATCTTCCATATGACTGAGAGGAAGAAAAAACCACTGATCAAAGAGACTACTCTAATATCACAGAAACATACATATATGGTTTACCCATTATACAATGTATGCTGTGCTTTCAAAAGCTCATAGTCTTTCTTTAATCAAAGGGCTTTCAGACCACAATGTTTTAAAGAATCAGAATGCACAGGGAATAAGAGGCCCTGATCAACTGAATTTTCTTTTTACATGGAAATTAGCCAAAAAAGAGCTTTCTTTCCAAAAGACTTTGGTTTCTTAATAAATAC